ACTTTAGGTAAATGGGCTAGAGATAATAGGTTTAGCCATGGTGGTTAAGTAAACACTTCAAGGTCAAACTTCTCATAAAGAGACTGGACAAAGTTAGTTATTCTAGTCACAAAATTATAACGTACTAATCCCTTCACCTTTCAAGTAATAAATATTAAAGAATTTCTTTCTGATTTCATCCAACATCTAGATAAATAAATCACTTCAATAAACACATGAATACTATTCGACATGAGCAATATAAATCAAAACTCAATGAATTCCATTTGCAAAAAGCAATACGTATAAATCATTAAGTATAGCTTAAGATGACTCAACTATGATCATCAAAACACCAAAAATTCGAACCTCCCATCACCTTTCAAATAATACAAATCAAAGAATTTCTTCCTCATTCATCAATCATTTTTATCTTGTTTACACAATTTATCAATTCAATGGTATTTCACATAAGCAACTTAACTTGTTTCGGGGTTTTTTGTGTCCCTCGAGAGAGTTACGTCACCAAGACAGATTTCCCGCCAGCTATACCAGCAAAACAACGGAAGCTTCAGGTGTTCGGAGTTCCGCCTCCGACGATCAAGTTAGAAAGTGTTCGGAGTGATGTAAGAAGTGCGGAAAGTAAAAGTAGATCTTCTCGGATTTCGAGATCAGGTGATTTCTCTGTTTTCGAGACAATTGGTTGTGTGTTATAAGTGAAGGTGTCCCAAAAATAGGGTTAATCTCCCTATTTATAGGGTCATTGAAAAATGTGCCCCTATCTAGGTCATTTTGACCTGGATTTGGTGGTTGCGCCGCTTTGAGGCTTTCTCGAGAATTAGGCCCAAAAGGACGCCTTTTTCCCACTGATTAGGAAGGCCACGTGTCAGCTGGTGATTGGTCCTGTTTGGACCTCTCTTAGGATGACACGTGTAAGCTTCTTATTGGCCCACGTGGCTTTGGTATTTTTACCCAAATCATTTGCCCCTCACAAGGGTGACGTGGCGTGCCACATGGCGCCTGTGACACTTGTCACTCTGGTGTTGGTGAACAAATATATTTTATTTTATTACTATTTTTTTTACTGTTCACCTTCAGGGGCAATTTACAAGGATGCCCCTGCATTTTACCCCTCTTACAAATAGCCTTTTACCCCCCCCCCTTTTCCCTCATCTTTGACCCTTCTGAAAACTCTAGAGAGAGAAAGAGAAAATTTTTAGAGAGAAATACTCTGATAACCGTCTGAGACTTTTGTTAACCACTGCTGGATATCACCGCTTGATACAGCCGGTCTATGCCTGACTTTTTCCTTTCAGAGGCACTTGAGGTAACCGTCTCTCTCCTTCTCATCTTTGTTCCTTTTTACCGTCTGAGTATATTGTTTTGGAATAATGGATTCACCCATAACACACACGACATGGCCTATGACATTAGTCAGCCGGTCTTCTAGTATGGCTGAGTCTAGGACTGGGAGTGTTGTCTCTGGGTGTTTAGACCACCCTTGTTTTTCCCCGAATCCGACCGTCTCTATGTCTGTGCAGGACACTATGGCTCGGATAATGCGGACGACACCTGATCCGAACTATAGAGAAGAAGGCTCAGACGATGTGTCGATTGACGAGGTACATGACCATTCCCCGAGTGCACCAAGCACTCCTACTGACCGTATCTTAGAAGAGTCAGATCATGGAGACGGCGAAGAGGTCGTTCAACGATCTAGGTCTAAGGGGTCGAGCTCGCTGCAGGCGGAGGCTGACAGTGAGGAGAATGAGGCGTCCTCATGGCTGGCTCGTTCCAACCCTCTTGAGACATAGGCGTATGGCAGCTCACCCCTAATTCGTGGGTGAACATCCTCAGCTATATCGCCGCTCGTGAGTTTTAAAACATAAAGCCCAGCTGGGAGGCTTTTGCTCACATGCACTATTTAAGTCATGCCCCGGGTGGATGGAGGGCGTGGTATACTTTGACCACGCATTCGGAGTATTTGATGACGCTTGATAAGCCATCAAATTGGACCAATTGGAAGAGAAAATTCTATTTGGTTTCCTCTCCCTGCGGACATCAAAATCATTTCCTCCGTCAGTATAATAAAAAGCTGGATTGGGGAAGAAGTGTGCCCTACCGCATGTCCCTGAGGAGGGTTGGGCACAGATACTAGAGCCGGAAATTTTTTAAGACAACTACCATGCCTCTAGATGATGGCACAGAAATAATTGTACCCAAGAATTGGGTACCTCATCCTGGCTTAAGGACAAGGCGTTCCTCTCCGCCTGTGGTCTTAGTACTATGTTTGAGAGACGTACGTTGACCACCTAACCGACACCTTAATGTCGCTTCTATTGTTTCATGTAAATTATTTGAGTTTTTCTAACCAACTAGTTATTATTATGTAGAAAAAGCTTTAACAATGGTTGTTGCCGAAAAGACGCCTGCCACGTCCGCAGCTGAGATCAGGAAGGCGCAACTAGAGAAAAAGCAGGCCCAACTTGCGGCCAAAGATGGGGTAAGCTCCGCCTTCCCCACTTTTTAACTTAAAGTGCATCTATTTATCATACTGTGACGGCGTATCACCGGCTATAACCCATGTGTTCCACTTTTAGGCTGGAAGCAAGAACATTCCAAAATCCACCAAAAAGATGCTCAAACGGAAGCCTGAGGAGTCTGCCAAAGGCTCCTCCAAGGCCAAAAAACCGCAGCCAACCCAGACGGCAACCTCCTTACCGCCTGGAGGAGACCAACCCACTTCAGCAGGCAAGAGCCTTAAAGATCTTGGCTTGAGTGTAGACTTGGTCGGCAAAGAGTCGGGCTTCCCAAAGGCGCCGAAGAGTGGCGTGCCACTTGATGCTGCATCTGGTTCTGCAGCAGCTGGGGGTGACCAAACCCTTCAGCCAAATCCTCAAGGTATGATTGACTGATTTGTACCTCCATGGCCGCTTTGGCCTACACAAGTCAAATCTCAGGCTGCACAGTTAGGAGATTCGTCTAGCAACCGGCACAATGTAGGTGTCGCTTATGCTGCTATCTCACAACATCCTTCTTGTGGTGCAGATGCCTCTCCTAGATGGTCGGACCTCCAGCAATACTCTTAAAATATGCTAAGGTCAATCACCCGGTCTGAAAAGGAGTTAGTTCCTAGGTTGCATCATGTCAACCTTGAACGCATCACCCCCTTGCTGGCTGAGGTAACTTGTCTTTAATTTTCTCAATTACCTTTTTTTTTTCTTTTTATAATACCGACTAATCCTTGTGCTTGGCCTCCTGTGCTTTTGTAGGAAATGCTTAGGGTAGACGGGCTAAAGACTCCGATTAATAGAAAGCAAGAGGAGGTAAAAGATGCCAACGAACGGGCGTTCAAAGCCCTTAACTCTGCTCAATATCAATTACAGGAGGAGCTTCTGAAAGAGGTGACAGTTGCCTTGGAGACGGCTAATAAGAAGGCGTCCGACCTTGAGCATAAGCTCAAGAATGCTCAATCGGACCTCAAAGCTTTGGAGGTAGCCGACAAAGAGAATACTCAGCTCCGAGCAGACGTCAATCGGCTCAAGGATGAGATGGTCCTGATGCGGGGTGAATTCAAAACCGAACTGGAGGCGGAGCAGGAGCAGCTAATAGCGGAGAAGGAGAAGGATTGTAAGGAACGCATGAAAATCGCATGGCACCTCGTCCATCCGGACTACGACTGGGACTTATTTGGCCTGAGGTACAAGTACGCCAGCGAAGTGTACTATGCCTAGGCCTTACGACTGGAAACGCCGCCTCCGTTTAATGAATGGGTCTGCATTGAGCCGTCTAATGATGAGCAGGAAGAGGCCGTGGAGGAGCCTAATGAGCAGCAAGATCTAGTGCCGATTAACCCTAGCCTAGTTCAACCAATTCGGGCAGAAGGTGAGTTCCCCTCAGGCCAAGACCAGTTTATGCCCCCGCCTCGACAAAATTAGCTTTATTTCTCTTTCGGCCTTGAGCCGTCTGTATTTCCGGCCTGCGTGCCGAGTATTTGCGTTGTATCTCATAACAATTTTTATTCTCCCGGATGTGAATCCGGTTTGACAATCACTCTCCCGGCCTTAAGGTCGAGTTTTATTTATGAAGTAGCCGACTGAGTTGGTTTTGCCAAATTTTTCAATTTTGTAATTTTTGATTTAGTTTATATGCTTTGATTTTTCCTATCTTGTTAACTGCATGCGGTAACTAACAAATGATCGTCGGATAATAGGTCGTGGTCTACTATCCTAGATCAAATCAACAATTTATATTCCTAATCTTACTCTACCAAGTTTACACAAGATAGTGGCAAGCTAGGGTCGAACCACAAGGACTAAGTGTATTAATTTGAGCTAATTAAACTAGTAGGAAGGTTGTGAGATAGAGAGAGAAACAACTAAAACACTACTTAAACCAACTATCATAAACTAGGGAAAGTGGAATCCAATTACATTAATGAATTCAACAACAAATTGCAACTAAGAGATCGTGATCTCAATTAGGAACGATCAACACACTCAACTCACTCCCACGCAATTAAGCATGTTAATTATCCTACTAAGCTAATTCACTCCCGGCAACTAGCCTAGCAAAGGTATGGAAGAATCTAGTCAATCAACTCACTTCCGCACAATTGATTGAAAGCACAATTAAGAACCTAGAATCAATTGGCTAAAAAGATTCTAATCAATGTAAGCATCCACAAGGCGAAAACACGTAATCCGCACCGGTTCAAAACCCCCATTTAGCACCGGTTTTGAGCCGGTCCTGATTTGGGGGGTGCTAAAACCCCAGACATTTCGCACCGGTTCTGGGTGAGAACCGGTGCGAAAAACCACACTTTTAGCACCGGTTCTTGCTTTAAACCGGTGCTAAAAGTGGCCAAAAAAATTTTAAAAAAAACTTTTAGCACCGTTTCTATTCCAAAACCAATGCCTAAAATGCCCCCAAAAAATAAAAAAAAAAAATATTTTTTTTTTTTTTTTTTTGCATTTTTTTCACTTAAATTGATATAAATACTAACATATAATAAAGTTACATATTTTCATTAAAAAAAGGCTGTAATATTACAATTTTCGTCCAAAAAAAATTAAATAATCCAGACTTATCTGTGAGTACCTTTCTTGCATTTCATTTAACTAGTTATCCTGGTCTTATGCTGGTGGCTACTCTGCTGGTTGTTGTGTGTTCAGGCTGACAGGCTGCTCTGCTGTTTGTTGTGCTGCTGTTTCTGTTCTGTTGCGCTTGCTGTGCCTCTGTCCTGTTTAGGCTTGCTGGGCGTCTGTTCTGCTTTTGTGGCTGTGTTTTTGCTTTGTCCAGGCTGGCTGGATGATTGGTTTTGCTTCTGTTCTGCTGTGTTGTTGTGTGTTCAGGCTGACCTACTGCTCTAGTGTTTGTTGTGCTGCTGTTTCTGTTCAGGCTGGCTGGGCATCTGTTTGCTTCTGTGGCTAAGTCTCTGTTATTTTTTGGCTGGCTGGGTGACTGGTTTGAGTTCTTGAGTTGCTGTGTTTCTGTTCTGCTCTGGTCAGGATGTGCTGGGTGTTTGCTACTATGCTGTAGTGTTGTGTTGCTTGCTGGTTTGGCTGCTCTGGGTCAGGCTGCTGTGTTTACTGGGTTCTGCTGCTGCTGCTGCGTGGTCCTCTGTGTTGCGGTACTGGTGAGCTGTTGTGGTGCTGTGCTGGTGAACATGTAGGACAATCTCAAGTAAGATATAAATATTAGATTTTCAAAGAGATTACTATCACAAACCATCAAGGTAGGTCAATATATTTATTGTGCATATTAGATTTTTAGAGACAATACTATCACAAACAGTCAAGCTAGGGTCTATATATTGATTGTGTTCCAGTTTTACAATCGGCTGGATGCCCATATCACCATTGCAAGGGAATTTGAGAAACCTCACAGCATGGTAAGTGTTTATGAGATAACGAGTATACCCTTACCAAGCCTACCTCCAACTAAACCTGACAGAACCTTTGGATCAATCACAGCCACAATGTCTTTCTCACTGAACTTATGTTTCTCTAACTTCTTCCTCTCTTTTGCCAACTGTTTCTGTTTTGCGGTTTCATCCTTCAATTCTGCTTTACGCGACCTTTCTTGCTGCGTTATGAAAAAACTCAGTAAGCTCTAGTCTTAACATGATCTGTTACATGAAAACTATAAAACATAAGACTGACCTTCTTCATGAGCCTTTTTTCCTCAGATAATTTCTTTGTATTTTCAGCCTGATTAACTTTGTTCTGTTTCTTCTCTGTATTAGCATCACCTCCACTTTCTGGCTTATAAATTGCACCTCCTTTTTCCAGTCTGACAATTTTTTTTTCACAATCATGATTCTGAAAATACACCAGACTTGCATTACCACATGATACACATAAACATTTATTATTCGGTAGAGCATCAAAATGCGGATATAAAAATATTATTAAGTCACAATTTATCAGTCACCTAAAGCTAGAGGTACGCATCCAACTTCCAAAAGTTTTAAATGTACAACTCAAATCTGAGCTAGAGGTGTGCAATTGTATTGATCAAATTATCTTTCACACTCCACTGCAGTAAAACAATTTGCCATTAAAAAGGCTCAAGGGATTCAACAGCTAATTATGAGGTATAGCAAAGAGCCAAAGAGCGAAATATTACCAAGGAAGGATCATTAGTCTCATTTAAATGAGAGAAACGCTCAGGCAAGCAGTTTGACAAATGTTCCATAATATGCCACCTAGAAACAGATGACAGTGAATTGATATACGGAAGGGATGCCATCAATTCACCACTTAGTGTACCGAAATCAGGCATCTTAGAAAAGGATGTGAGGCAATATACAAGCGTTGAGTGAACATCATGCAAACCAGCTTTATTGAGCATCTCAGCAAAGTGTTGCAGAGGGTAGTAATCTGAAACATCTGAGACTGTAGTTGCAGTGTATATGGTTAGGGATAGGAAAAGAAAGAAGCCAATCAAATGCCTGTAATGCAAGTTAGTAGTTGGTAAGATAGATGCACGGCAAACAGCCTCACCCCAACCCCCCTAAAATAAATATGGCAAATAAAACACCCAAATCTGTAAGAGATGAATCTATAAGATATGAATATAAGTAATAGAAAAGGCAACAGAACACACATTCAGAATTCAGTGTTTGCAGCAATTGTTATTCAATTACAATCACCAAACCATTTCAGTTAAGCACGACAATTAAGAAGGTATGAATATTGAATTACACATCATGTTAGAGAGAAAGCAACTTAAGAAACCCATTTTGTTCCCCTTAATTATGAAGTAACAGGAAAGGAACGAACTAAACCTATGGTTGAAATGAGTGATTCCAACAATGAAAATGATTTTGGAAATCTTCAGATTTTCAGAAAATAGCAAATAGAAACAAATAAATGAAACTAAGAGCTGGTGAATAGAACAAATATATCATATTCCAAGGAGTATAGTCCTTGTGAGATTTTCCCCTATGTTTTGATGGTATTAATGTCCTTACCTAATAATATTGCACTAATCTTTGCCCTTCAAAAAAAAAATTCCAAGGAGCATCATGTCCTTACCTACTAATATTGCACTAAACGCACCCTTAAAAACTTTCCAGCTCCAACACGAACACTTAAATGCATAATTTTGAACCCTTTTATCACCCCTCAATTGGACTAGACTGTGACTGGAAGAAAAGGGAACTTAAACTTATTCTAGGGCTTTCTATAGCTATAATATTTATATTCTTTAAAAGCACTTGGAAACTCATAACAGGAAAGTAAAAGATAATGAACAACAAAGAGATAGTATATTAATTCAACGGAACACACCCAATAATTTTTTTCACCAGTAACACAAACACTTACCTGCATCAACTGTGAACCTTTGTCACCCTCAAATTTCTTAGGGTAAATAGCTGCATAAACCATCAATAATCGCAACTTATTCTCATGGCTTAAATCCTGTCAAAGGGGCTTCAACATTGTCAGAAAAGTATTACAAACTTCATATTAGATAAAAAGATGCATGATTCAAACTACAAAGTCCCTACCGTATGCATGCTTACAAATTTGATAACTTCTTTAGTTCCAGCATCACCAAAGACAAGATCCTGTTCAAGTTTACCAACCTCCCTAAGTTCTTGCTCTCTTATGATACGGGTATGAATTCTGGGGTTTGAACCAAGACCCATTTGTTTGCAATTGCAGCTTAAAATTCGATGGCACAGTCCCACATTCCGCCATTTTTCTGGAGTTTCAATCTCACCCAAATGCTCAATACATTTTATTCTCCCAATCAAATACGAAAATAAGAACTTCGTTTATGCTTGAATCTACTGAAATTTAATTATAAACAAACAAAAATCAATATCTAAACAGACAACATATTCATTAATTTTCAAAGAAATGGGATAAATTCTAAATAAAAAAAAAAAGGTGAAATTGAAGTGGGATTTAGGGAATTGGGGGTGAGAAAATGGTAAATTAGATGATACCTGGAAGTTAATTTTCATGAATTCATAGTGTTAGAAGGAGAGAGGAAGGAAGGAATGGGCTGAGTTTATGACTGGTTTTGCAAAGCTGAATAATGGTGGAGGTGGTTGTGGTGAAGGTGGAGCCGTGCGCGCTTCAATGACAAACCCTAGATTACCACAACCCTAAAATTACTAAATTGAAAAGCAAATCAACGGCAAACCCTGGATTGCGAAGGAATTCGATAAATTAAGAAGACCACAGAAAAAATCTAACCTCGAAGCTGCTTCAATGTAGGTGAGAAAGCTCATAATCCGCTTCAATGGAGAATAAAGAGCACGAGTTCAATGGAGGAGAGATATGGAGAGAGAAGAGGTGCGGCTGCTTCAATGGAGTGAGAAAGCTCATAAACGGCTTCAATGGAGAAGGTTGTAATTCGGAGGTGGTGGAAGAGAAGGCGAGAACGAAGGAAAAAAGAAGATGGAAAAGCAGGGGGAAAGAAAGGAAGAAGAAGAAATACGCGAGCCCGGCTTTTTTTTTTCATTTCGCATCGGTTTGTTCTGAACCGGTGCGAAATCCCTTTCACCTTTTTTTTTTCTTTTTTAAATTCGCACCAGTTAGAACCGGTGCGAAAAAAATCATTTCACACTGATTTATTAGGAACCGGTGCGAAAAGTCTTTTTCCCAATCCTGCCCATTTCTTTTCCCATCGGTGTGAAAAGTGCGGTGCCTATTTCATTTTTTCTACTAGTGATCATCCAAACACAATAATCAAGAATCAATTGCATACTAATCTCAATCAATCACTCAATTCATCAACATAACCTTTATCCATTTCCCTAAAACAAAATCTAAGTAAACATAATGAAAAATAACAGGGAAAACAAGGTTAAACAAGAATTAAAGCAAGAATCAAACAAGTAAACTAATTATCTACTCTAATCAACAAAGAATTAAGCAAAAACAAGAATTAAACAAAGCAATAAAGGTGAGAGAAAGTTGGAAAAGCTCATTGAATAGATGAGAAGAGAATCCACTAAATTGCTTCTTCAAGCTCTCAAATCTCCATTGAAAACCCAAGCTTTCTCTCTCTAAAACTACTCCTAAAATAGAGAGAGAAACTCCTAATCTAAGCCTAATCCTAATTAGAGGAGAGAGAAAATCTAAAAACTTGCTTAAGGAAGTCTAAGAAATCGTTCTATTTATATTATAAGAAGAGAAAGATGAAAATCCGAAAATTAAGATCGAAAAACACCCCGAAGACCGCGCCTGTGGTGGCTGGAGCCGTGCCCGCGACAGCACCTTCTCCGAGGCATCTCCAGAAGTTGCAAAGGTTGGGAAAAGCAGAGAGTCACGCCCGCGGCGACATAGGCTGTCGAGCTGCTGGCTGTGCTGCTCTTTGTTGCTGCGGTGCTGCTGCTTGGCTGCCACTTTCAGCTGCTTGAGGTGATGCTCGGGGTGCTCGAAGGGTTCTAGCCTTAAGTGCTACAATTGCTCAACTTCTTAGCTTCTTTCTTAGGTTCAAGCTTCTTCTATTGAACTTTCTTGCCTTCTCTCGGGTCATAAGCATCAAAGAAAGCGCCAAGCACCTACACAAATGGTCCAAGAGAGAAAAGAGTGAAAGAACACATAAGAAAACACGCAAATCAAGTTAGAAACCGAGCAAAAAGCTTATTATTCACAACTAAGGCCTAAAACCATATACTAAGACAAAGATAACTAAAAAAATATTAAACGTACTAGAAATAATAAAGAAACACCAAAATAAACCTTAAACTAAGGGAAAAAAAAACCACCCTAAAATGTGTCATAAATGACACTAATCAAATTCCCCCAAGCTTAACTCTTGCTCGTCCTCGAGCAAGACGAAACCAAGAGAGAAAAGGAGAAGGATTTATTCAAGCAAGACTAGCACACTAAAGGAGATAAGAATGTACACTAACTCACTTCCGTAGGAATCACGGTCAATTTTAGCAACTAAAGACAAGCCCTTTAAACCCCTAGATCGTTCTAGAGGACGAGTGTGGTCTCGTGAAGGTTTCCTAAGAGTTTAACCCACAACTCTTGACAAAAACCAAGCAAAACAAGGCAAAACATAAAAAGGAAATTAAAAGAAAAGGAAGGAAAACAAATGTTCATGAATGGACTTATGCAAATGAACAAGCACAAATGAATGCCATGTTGGGTTTCGTAGTGTCCGACACTACACGGAAAAGAAACCCGCCTAAGACCCGCCCACTAATTAAAGAGACTAAACATGCAATCACATAATTAACAACATAAGAGATAGAAAGAGAAAAGACATTCTTACCCTCGACGCGTGCTTCGCTCGATTCACGAGCTCTTACTTCAAAGCTCGAGCCACGCAAGTGAGTAGGCCTCCGACGGCTCGCACCCTCGACCCGACCCGAACGGTCTTAATCCCGAAGGTTAGTCGGGACTTGACCAAATAAAACTAGAGTATTACGAACTTAAAGGTTTTCTCACTAATAATGAGATGCCTTATTGAGTTCAATTCAAGTGATTTTTCCTTAACCCAAAACTTGGGTATTTATAGGGAATGGAGACTTGATCTCCCTTCTCCCATTAATGTGGGAGATTTGCATTTTTCCTCAATTTTATTTTAATCAAAAACAAAATAAAATGCAAGGCAATCAACAAGCTTCAAGTGTCATATGGAGAGCAAGAGTAGGTGAGGACCATTAAAGGGGGGGACCAAACCCCTTGCTCACCAAGCAACCCCCTTAATTTTGGTCCCCACACAAAACCAGCACACACACCTCGCCACTTAGCTGGCTGGCAGCCTGCCTTGGCTGCCAAGGCTGGGAAGCCCAGCCAGCCACCACACAGACAGCTAGCGCACACGCATGCGATGTTGTGCTGTTGTTGCTTAGTGCGTGCTGCTGTGCGATAGGCGAGGCCAGGGGCTGATGCTTGGCGCTGCTTGCCAGCAAGCACCCACAGCTACACACACGCACATATGGCACGCTGCCAGCAATGCGTGTGTTGTGTGAGTGCGATGTTGCTGCTGCTATGCGATGCCCAGCATGCACAACCCATAACACAAGCACGCATAGCGTACTGCTGTGCAAGTGCTATGCGTTGCATGCTTGCGGTATGCCTAGTGATGCGCATGGCAACTTAAGCTAGCCTAGCACTCGCATTGCTAGGCAAATGTGAGGCTACGGCTTAGCTCGAACTTGTCGCTTGCTTGATATTTGTTCCTAATACTCTAATGACTCATCTAATTTGTTGGATTGATTCATCGTCTCGGATCGGTTATTCGATAGGGGTGCGACCCGAAGGGTTTAGTCAAGATTAAGCTTTAATATTAATTATGCATTAATATTACTGATCGGAAGCGGCCTCCACCTAGGAATTCCGATCACTTGACCTCACTGAAGATTTATCTTTCTAATAATTCCGAACCCTCTATCGGAATAATACACTTGTTGGAAGGACACCATTCCTTTCATGCGAAACTTTCTAAATAAGTAAAGGGGTGCACGTTTCAAGATATCCAAGGTTGATTGAAACATAAGAAATGATAAGCATAGAGATCTATAGAACTCACTTTACCTTTTGTCCCAAGGGATCTTACCGCGTTCTCCCTACTAGTTTCAAATCTACCTCTAGTGAGCATCTCAATGATTTCTCTAAGGAACCGGAAGAGAAGAGATTTTAGGGCTACTCGACATCTTGACTATGCAAACCGCTCCATACGCTTGACTCTCATCTCCCTCCACCGACTCGTAACTCAACCACAAAGGTCAAAAGGTCTTTGAAGGGTTGTAACGTATGGGTAAAAAGGGTAAAGGTAGGCTAAAAATTTGAAAATTGGTTGTATACGTAATTGTGACGCAAAAGAATGGCCAATTCTAAACACTATAACCAAGTTATCATCGAAACTTAAACAAAAATATCAACGCCCCCAAGCTTATTCAAAGCAAAATCACGAAACATATATACAAAAAGCGTAGACACGCTTCCCTCAAGCTTAAATGGAGCATTGTCCTCAATGCTCCAAACTAGGGGGATAATGACTACCTCAAATTATCTTTGTGCTCTTCATTTTTATTTTATTTTTCACTTTATTGCTTTGTCCTCGCCTCTTTTGACTATGGATGGTTTTTTCAACTTTACATTTGCTTTTATTCACAATCTTGTACACAATACATATTTACTATACAAAATGAGCTCATAACTTCAAACTATTGCACTTATATTTACCAAACAAACTCATCACCACTAGCTTCACAAAAACCAAAGATGAAAAGAATGAAACAAATGGTAAGAAGTCTAGTAATATGGATAGAAAAGGAGGTATAAGGCTTAAATGGTTAGCAAGGAGGCAAATGTAAACCCAAAACCAAAAATATAAAATCGAAACCTAGAAAAGAAAAAATAACCACCCCGAAAAGATGCCTTTATCCTTCCTAAATGGGTCGTTCACGATCTCGGGAGATAAAAGTCAAGTTCTAGATAAAGTAAGCGATAGTCAGGGATCCATGTGCCACTCATGAAAAATAGGTAGAAGGCTAGAGAAATGAAACCTCACATGGTTGTAGCAAAAACTCACTATTGGCTTCAAATTCACTATAGGAGGCAACTCCTTCTTACCACAAACAAGTAGACTTGGGCTTCAAGGTCCCAAAGTTCTTAACATACTACCTTAGCATACTCTATCCTAGAATCAACCCAAGATATCTCAAAGCGTGCAAACCACTACTATTTAGGAAGAAAATCATTCAAGAACACAATTCCAAAAGTATTATGTCCAAAGCAAGAACAAAACAAAACACATTGCAAATTTGCCTTGATAAAAACGAAAATCTTTTTGGAGTTTTTCAAAATATAAAAAAAACACATGTAAATGTATGTACTCAAGTGCATGGCAAAAATGGACCAACATTCTACCCAAGCATGATATAATACCCTCCCCTAAGCTTGAATGAGACAATACACTCATATCATAAATCATAAACTCCATGGGAGGGGAAAAGAAAGAAATCAATCTAACAAACCAACACATGTCCACCAACTAAGCCACAAAAAGTTAGAGAGAAGGAAAAAGAAAGATATTACTGGATTTGAGAAAAAATTTGCAAAAGCATTCAAAAAGACCCGAAATAACCACATATGAGCCACAATCTCCAAAATTATGTCTTGAAATCCACATGCTAGGAAAGAAGGGGTAGATCTTCCTTGATTCTTGACCCAAGCAAATGCACAAGAGTATATCGAGTTGTGCACCTAGCAAGAAACACAAACACGTCCATGAGACAAAAACTATACAAAAAGAAAAGTAA